TGCATCAGCAGTGGGGGACCCACACTGTCATTGCTGTTGTCATAGGACAGACACGTGCACTTGCCACAGGGGCTGTGGTCGGGGGGGACCTCTCAGGGGATGGCCACGTTGCAATCCCTTCTCCTCCAGTCTTAGGATTTTGGACACACCCACGTGCCTGGTGTGATTCTCAAGGCGCTGGCCCAGGACCCGAACCACGCAGTCGGCCATGTGGGATCCAGCACATTAACCTCCACACCACCTGCTGGCCCCTCAATGAGCTTTTTATTTGAGTAACATCTTTGAACGCATGGATTTTACCATGTTTGATGTGTTTCCATTTGTTTCAAGTCTTCAGATTTATTTGTTTCTGTTTATCATTTCTTTCATGAGAGGGAGGGAGAGGGGTCCCCTCATCAGAGTCTTCACGCCAGTTACCCCCCACCCGGCCCAGCAGCCAGCCAGGGCCAGGGCACACCCGCAGGGGTGCTGAGGTAGACCGAGGCCTTCCCGCGTGCTGAGCGGTGCCCTCCGACTGCACACCAAGACTGGGCCTCGTCCCGCTAGCTGCTCACCCTGCCCCGTGTCTGGGTGGTGGGAGCAACCTGGAGGGACGTGGCCCACAGTGCCCACGGTGCCCTTGGTTCCAGCTGTGGTGAGGTGCTCCAGGATCTCGTGTGTGTTCCGCCCCAGACCGTAAGTCACCGCGTCTTCCGGAGGGGACAGAGCTCTCTGCCATCGAGCGGGCCCGTGCCTGCCTCTCAGGTCAGGCCCAGGAAACACGGCATCTACGAGAAAGCGCGTCCTCGCTGGTGTTCCCAGCGAACGTGGGGCGACGTGATTTCCTCCTTGTACCTTCTGTCGTAGCTCTGTTCATCGAGGCTGGAGGTCTTGAGTCTCAAACATGAACACGATTACTCATTTGCTTCTCTTGCCATATTGTTCCAGATTAACTATGGCAATTTACGATGAGAAATGTGAAGCTGAAAAGTTCAAACTTGCTTGGAAAGGACTTTTCTTCCTGCCTTTAGGGTATATCCCGCTAGGAATGCATGGTCAGGTTACAGTCGAAAGCTTCTTCTTTTTTAAAGAATTATTTATTTAATTTTATTTATTACTATTATTATTTCTTAATTTGCTATAGGGCACATGCACCCAGTGAGAGACAGAGAGATGAAAAGTGAGAGAGCAAGTTGCCAGATCTAGGACTCGAACCGCAGCCAACCATGTGGGAGTCCAACTCCTTAACCACCACACCGCCTCTGGCCCCTATAGCCAAAAGCTTCTTAAATTACTCCTGCTTGTGTGGTTAATAAGACACCAACATGATACAAAATTGTGTACTTTTGTCCGATTTTGCCTTGACTTCTTAGGGATTTCTATTTTTCTATTTTGACTTATTTTTATAACTATGTCAAATGTGTATACGATTCCACAGGCAAATCCATAAAGCCAGGTTTCTTCAGAAACTTGAAGATAGAGCCGGGCTCCTACCCGAGCCCTGCGCCCGATCGCTTCCCCTATTCTATTTATGTCATGTTTGATGTTCCTACTGTTATTTTTAAGTGAAATTTGGTAGATAGTCCAAGTCTCTAAACCATGCGAGAACGGTGGTTAGACGGAAAGGGCATGTATAATGCGTGCCCCAGGCCGCTGTGGGGCTCACCTTTCACTGGACGAGCCAACGTCGGTGATGTCTAGGAGTCAGTGCCCAGGGGGGCGGGTCCACCGTCGGCCGGTCCAGGAGTGCAGGTGTCCCGGCAGGGTTTCATTGAAAACAAGACGACCCACATTGGTTAGGTGGGGCAGGAGGTGATTGCTTAGAGACGTGGCAGATTTGCTTGTGGGACTCAATAAACAGGCTCTAGGGAGAGCTTTCTAGACTACATCCTGGCGCTGGCGCTGCCTCACCGCAGCAGGAGAGCGGCAGTTCTAGAACCACGCAGGGATCCAGGAGCTGCCACCCCTGCCGGCCCTGGGGGAAGTGTTCTTCGGCTGGGGGATGCCATTAGCAGCCTCTTGGCGGGTGGCGCTGACTCGTGGAAGTGTCGGACTCATTTTGTCACATAAATATGGACTCAAGCTTCAGTTCGCTCAACTCGAGTAAAGAGAAGCAGCCACCAGATCCCAGACCGTGTCCGCCAGCGCCTTCTGGTACCTGGTTGCTGTCTCGGCCCCGTCGAGAACTGTGTAGTAAGCTGACAGGGCCTGCAGAGCAGCACAGGTGGGCTCACCCATGCAGGCATCTTGACAAAAGGCAGCAGGGACCTCTGGGCGAACAAATGAACCGCTTTATAAAGCTCCTGAGTCCCTGCCGAGACTCAGCTCTGCAGAGGTCCACGTTAGCGTCCCGACGCCAGGTCCTGCTATCGAAGACTTCCCAGGTGACAGTCCAGCAGCGTCACCTACCACTGCGGCACCACTGACGCCAGCGAGCAGCCAGCAAATTCGCTGCGAGAACAGCACTTCTCTTACCTGCCGCCCTCGGGAAAACACGCAGGAGAAAACTCTCCACGCGGAAGGTCACTTTTTAAAACAAAATTACATGAGACAAAGCGCACTTCTTTACACATGTGAAAAGAAGCATTGACAAGATTTTCCATTCTCAATAATGAATAAATGTACCGAGAACTGTATTTACTTCTGTGACTCCGTATTGCCTGATATTTAATACGAGCCCGAGTTAGCATGGGTGGTCCCGCGATGGGTACTCACACACAAATACCTTTACTACTGACGCCATTAAAACCCGACTTTCGCAGCTTTATCACTGACTCGCCTTTCTATAAGAAAGTAACGGAATTGCATCGGTCACCTGAGTGTCATCTCCAACACTGGTGATTTTTTCTTTCAGGTTCCAATTCATCCAACGTGTAAAAAAATTAATTAAAAAAATGAGAAATTCTCCGGCCAGCCGGTTGATGACATTGGAATTCCTCCCAAATGTCACCGTGTCTTTCTTTAACCCGTTGGAGACCAGGCGATGGTTCTGAGGAGCTGATAACCTTAGATGAGAAAGGCAGCCCAAGTCCCGCCCGCCGACGTTTTCCTCCTGCAGACCATCTTCCATTTTCATTGAGGTGCCTAAAGAAAAGATGTGGTCCTGAGAAAGTGCACCCTGGCTACTGACCTGAGCCGCTGGCGGGGAGCACCACCAGGCGGGGTGGGACCTCAGGCTGGCCTGCAGCCAGAGCAGAGCCCCACCTCCCAAGGTAGGCTGGGGCCCCGGCCCTGGGCTGCTCCTGACCCAGAGGCCTCTCTGCTGGGCTGCTTCCTCTCAAACTCAACTGTGAAATCTTCCTGGTGGAGGGAGAGAAGAAGGAAAGCGGGGGAGACAGACGTACTAAGAGACACAGAAGACAGAGACAGAAGACCACAGAGGCCACAGAGCGGAGGGCCTGTCAGGAGCTGTAAGACAGGCTCCTTCCTATCCCTAAAAGTGCCCCTGGGCCAGGAAGGAGGACTTGTCAGTTGGCTTACTTAAATTTGGCCAGAGCCAGGAACTGGGTCCCTGAAGTCCCCCCCGCAAGTGACATGCAGGACTGGGGAAAAGCCACAAACCATTGCTGTGGCCTCTGAGTCCAGGTGTCAGCCAAAAGCCATTCCCAGAGGGAGCAGGCCCTCTGGGAAGAGGAGAAGCTTGGAAGGCAGTGCAGGGCGGGAGGGCCTCTCTCTCTCTCTCTCCCTCCGCCTGCATTTGGGCTTGAGAAGCTATTTTGCGTGGCCGCCATGGGCCTTCCAGAGCAGGGCATGGGGGCCAGGGCTGGGCGTGGTGGCTCAGGACTCCCCTTGAGCTGCAAAGCCCACGGGTAGAGCCCGGCAGCGCAGAGCGCCTCCCGCTGGCCTGGGTGAGAGCGCGGCCCCTCCCCAGCTCTGCCCTCCTGGTCCTGCTGCTGGGGAAACCCAGGGGCGCCAAGGACCTCACCAGCCGTCCTCAGTTTCCCAACATGATGGTCACGGCCCGCGGGCCCCACCTCGTGGCCTGCACCGCCTGGCGTTCTCCAGGCCGCGGGTTCAACTTCAATAAAAGGGCCCAGCCGGCCCTTGATCACGGGGACAGCCGGCTCAGGCCGGCCTAATTGAGCGCGGGTCACCTGGGAATAGGTTCAAAGGCATCAGAGCCGTAAACCACCTCCAGGCCCGGAGCCAGAGCGGCCTGGCGAACAAAGAGCCCCCGAACCACTTCAAACGCGCTCCGCTCGGCGTCCAGATGGCGCGGGGCCGGGGTCCGCGGCGTGACACCTCCCAGACTGCCCTCCCGCCACTGCCTACCCGCGAGGGGCAGGGCGAGCGCAAAGCACGGCCTGGGAAGGCCACCCCTGCCGCACCCTGAGCAGGGTCAAGGGGAGGGTGGGCCTGGGCCTCCTCGGAGGCTGGCTGTGACCTTTAAAGCTCTTGGAAGCAAAAAATCAGGAAGGGAATCGGGGCTCCCCAGCAAGTCGGGCTGAGAAAGGGTCCCCGGCACGCCACTGGCCCAAGCCGGGAGATCTCCATGGATCCTAAGGGCGCGTCCATGCGGAAGGGCTTCTCCTGGGGCCCCGGTGTCCACAAGCCCACGGTCTGGCGCCAGGAGACCTAAACGCGCGACCCCCAGAGCGTGCGGGTCACGCCGCCGATCGCTCAGCTTCTGGCGTTGGCCAAGGCGCACTCGGGTCCAGGCTTCCCCGAGACTCCCCGCTGCGTCCTCACCTCTGAAAACCGCGTCTGGGTTTGGACTCCGGTGCCTCCTGCACCGTCGCGAAACCCGAGCCTCGCAGGAGCAGACAAAGCCAGGCCCGCGGGCGGCCAGCACCCGGGGTGGGGCGCGGGCTGCGCGCGGGGACCCTGCTCAGGGGTGCCGGCCACGCCGGGGCCAAAGGGGGAGGCAAAACTGAAAGTGCCGCGCCGGGGGCGGGGGGGCCGGCGGAGGCCCCACAGCCCCGCCTGCCCCGGCCACCGCGGCCAATCAGCGCGCCGCCCTCGCTCCTGACAGCTATTTAGCAACCCAGCCTGGCTAGAGTTTCCAAAAAAGTTAGAATAACTTCCTCTCCAGGAGACCTGGGTTTTGCACAAGCCGGCCTTGAAATCAGTCTTTAGAGCAACTCCGAGAGCGAGTGCTCAGCGTTCGTGAGCTTGGCCAGCGGCGCGCGCTCGGCGCCCCGGCGCCCCCAGCCCCACGCGCGCCGGGCGGGCGCCATGGAGGAGGGCTCCAGCTCGCCCGTGTCCCCAGTGGACAGCCTGGGCACCAGCGAGGAGGAGCTCGAGCGGCAGCCCAAGCGCTTCGGCCGGAAGCGGCGCTACAGCAAGAAGTCGAGCGAAGATGGCAGCCCGACCCCGGGCAAGCGCGGCAAGAAGGGCAGCCCGAGCGCGCAGTCCTTCGAGGAGCTGCAGAGCCAGCGCATCCTGGCCAACGTGCGCGAGCGCCAGCGCACCCAGTCGCTCAACGAGGCCTTCGCGGCGCTGCGCAAGATCATCCCCACGCTGCCCTCGGACAAGCTCAGCAAGATCCAGACGCTCAAGCTGGCCGCCAGGTACATAGACTTCCTCTACCAAGTCCTGCAGAGCGACGAGATGGACAGCAAGATGACCAGCTGCAGCTACGTGGCCCACGAGCGCCTCAGCTACGCCTTCTCCGTGTGGCGCATGGAGGGCGCCTGGTCCATGTCCGCCTCTCACTAGCCGGCCGCCACCTCCGGACCCGCGCGCCAGGGTAGGTGCTGCGAGCCGCGCGGCGCACTCTGCTGCGGCCTCCGCGTGGCCTCCCCTTGCCTCCCGGCGGAGGCCTGCCGGGTCGCGGCGGTGTGGACGGGTGCGCTTTTCTTTGTAATACCGGACGGGGCTGCGGGAAGCTCCTGCACCCCAAGACCTTTTGCAAACTTCCCCGCAGCGCGAAGCGGTGACTCCCATACGGTCCTAGGCGCTTCTTAGGGAAGTGTTCGCGTTTTCCATTCTCGCTGGTGTGTGGGTGTCGCAGGTGATTGTTTTGGGGAGGTATCTGAAGAACCTCCTAGGGCCGGCCAGGGGCAGGGAGATGAGATGGGGACCCGCCGCCCTTTGTGCCCCTCGGAGCGGAGGCTGCCCGGGAAGCTGCGGAGCAGGGCCCTGCGCGTGTGTGGCTTTGCCCTCAGTCGTCGCGCGGACGCCGCTATCTCCCTCGCTGCTCCTGCAGGGCGCCCGGCTCGGCGCCTTGGGCACAGACGTGCAGGCCAGCAGCGCTGGGGAGGGCGGGCAGACACTGCCCTGCGCTGGAGGCTCTCTGCCCAGAGCAGCCTCAGGGCTGGAGGCCGCCCGCGCCGGGAGCACCGGGGGGTCGAGGGCGCCGAAGGCGCGGCCCGAACACCCGCCGCGACCCTCCCGCTGTCGGCAAGCAGGTGGAGCCGACCTAAGGGTTGGGAGCTTTAGGTCCCAGCCTTGAACCTGGAGACCTGGGAGGGGACCCGGTGCGCGCGACTTTCGGGCCGGCGGGGCGGCGCGAGGGTCCAGGCTGGGAATCGGGTCTGGGGGGAAGGGAGGCGGTGCGCGCCCGGTTCCCGCCGGGGAAGGCACTGGGGACCAGCTGCCAGGAGCACTGGAGCTCTGGTTTCCTCTGGAAAAGCGCTTAGGGCGTCCTGCACCGGCTCCTCCTCGCCACAGGCACCTTACAAGTCCCTTTAGACAGCTCGGGCCAGGGCCGGCCGCGGAGGCGCCGTGGTCTCCGAAGGCCCTGCGAGGCTCGGGCCCCTCTTCCCGCGGCTTCCTGGGCACTGCAAGCGCGCAAGATTTTTTTTTTTTTTAGGGGGAGGAGGCAGGTTAAAAATCCTTCTTTCTCAGTATGTTTAGTTTCTCTCACATCTTGAGATGTTTTTATAAAAGCCTCCACTTCACACAGAAGGAATTTAGATTAATCAAGGGCGCGCAGCCGGCCGCTCTCCCAAACCTCGTTTCTATGTGTTTCTGCGCTGCTGGCCAGGGCAGCCGCGAACTCTGCTCAGGCAGAGGTGGAGTTTCTTTCTTTTGTTTTGCTTTCTTTTTTTTTTTTTTCTTTTTCTTTCTGGCTCCCCCTCTTTTTAGCTTTTATTTCTGTGTTACTGAAAATTCTTTTGATGAAATAACCCACTAAATTAGTGACTGTTTTATAGTTCTTGAAAAAGAACTTTTAGCAGAGAGTAAATTGTGAGAAACTTCTCTTGTTTTTGTCAAAACCAGATGGGAAGTGTCTCGATCACGTTCTCTAGGAAAGGTCTGGATTGGCTGAGCACTAAACATGGCAGTGGGCAGCACTCGTTCTGGGCTTTGCAGCCCAGATCATGAACGCCCGTGAGTTATTCCACTTGCCCCTTGTTCCGTCCCTGGTTTACAGTACCATCTGAAGTAAGAGCGAGCAGCTGAGGAATGTCATCTTTTTAAACACACACATCAAGCTTTGTTTAAGGAAAATGTCAGCGGAATTATCGTTAAGACTGCCCTCCAGAAAATTATAGAAAACAAATATCAGGAGATATGGCCCTGATGTGAGAATTTAGTAGGAACATTTACAATGCATTTTAAGATGACCAGGCTCCTTAGCACTTAAGAGAATCAGACATACATCACAAAGAATATGTAAAACTAAAATGCAGCTTATTTTATAAGTAAACAATGACTGTTTACATTACTTATAAAAATGTAAATGAGAACAGTGTGAAGAGCTTCTCTGGAAAAGTCCTTTAAATATGAGAAATAAAGCAGTTACATGTAGAGTGAGTTCTCTATGTTGTTCGTACTGGTATATTACTGGCCGCTTCAGATGAGCTGCTCTCTGTAGGTAGATAGATACTGTCTCCAAGAAAGGAAGAGGAGCACGGGCCCCGCCACACGCCAGTCATCCGTGCACTTACGTGTATTGATCAGGCGGACATTTTTATATTCATCCCGTCGACCTCCCTGAGCACAAATGCCATCCTACTCGGCCGGATTTCCTGGAAATATTGCTAGCTGGCATTTGCTGTCTGGAACGATTTCAGGAAGCATTCATTGTTTCTATCAGCAAAACTTCGTGAGGCGTTGCTGGTACGTACGTGCTTCTTCATTGTGAAACGTTTTTGCACACATGGTAAAACCTGTCTGGGCTAACAGCAGCAGCGGCGAAAGCCCAAACTGTCCTTTGATAGAAAAGAAGGCTGCACACGGAGGGCTAGGACTGGTGCTAACATTTATCTTAACTTTCTCTGCACCTGGCATTTAAAACCACAATTAGACAATAAATCAGGCGCCTGGACAGCCAGCTGGGTCCATCTAATCGAAGAACCTCAGGAAGCGTTTGGGTATTCTCATGAACGGCCCGAGGCAGAGCCCGGGCAGCAGGGTCCGCAGCACCTGGGGGAGGAGAGGTGCCTGTTACGTCCAGCCCCAGCCCCAGCGTCTGTCTGCTCGCTGTTGTGGGGTGCAGGGAACATCGCCGACCTCCGCAAAGGGTGCACAGACTTCCAGCGCGTTCCTGCACTCGGCGGATTAGAGTCTTCTTCATTGAATTATTCCTGAGCACTTTTAGTTACGTTGGAGAAAGTGTATGCCCCCCCCCCCATGTGTGGAAGCCTTCTCCTCCTCCTGAAAATTTACTTCTTCGAGGTGTTTGTGAACTGCTATATTCAGAGTGCCAACTGGCCTCCAAAGAAAATGAATTTTCCTCGGAGAAAAACAGAAATGCAGAATCCGCGTAGAGCTTCCGATGACTTGGAAGAAGAGAGGCAAGGCTGAGCTACCTGACACAGGAAGCCTGTTTCGTTACAGAGTTCCCGGCCGTGGGGGCTGAGGCGGGAAGTTGGTCTCGGTTGTGTGGTTCTTGTCCCCTTCCACGTCCACAGTGTTCTGTCACCCTTGCATAAAGCAAGTCTTGCGACTCCTTTGGCCAGAGCCGGGACCAGGGGATGGGCCTCGGACCGGCTGGTTGAGGTCATTTAGATGGACTTGTGTTTTGCGGCTCTTAGACCTTGATCCGGAGAGGGTCGTATCTTCATCTTAGCTTTGCTCTGCTCTGGGCAGACCGCAGAATGCCAGACTCTGAGTGCCTGGCAGAAAGAGTATAAAGTAAACTTCCAGAGCAGAGCACTGTAACTCATAACTTCAGTTTAAATCTGGGCTTTGAAAAAACAAATATTTTAATAAGGCAATTTTCAAGATTGAACTTTTATGACAGTTTTTAAGCTTGGTATTTATACTAATCTATTCTCACTGGTGTCTTTAAAAGCCCCGTGGATGCATGCTGGAATGTCTGTTTACGTTTGGGTCTCTTCCTGGGAAAGGGTAAATGTACGCAGAAAGCAGACCAAACACAAATCTGTCCTCTCACGAAGACTTCATGGAGGAGGCAATGAAGCTGGAAAAGACGCGTGAGTTACTGGAGCCGAGAAGGGGGAAGCCGTGAGAAGAAACAGCAACTAGGAGATACAGAACGGATGCTTTCAAAGGAGAGCCGAGATGAAACACCCCAAACAGGAACTGCTTACAGAGGTACCCCACATGGTCACCTGAGCCTACGCATGGGATAAAATTGCACAGAATTAAAAACACACGCTCGCACACCTACGCATGTGCACGTGCACACATACAAGTGCATATAAAACTGGTGGCATCTGAGGAAGGTCTGGGGACTGCGTCATGTCAGTTTCTCAGTTGTGACACTGGACTATGGTTTTGTAAGATAACATCACTGAGCGAGTGAGTGATTAAGGAGGGAATCTTCTTATACGATTTTTTACAACTTCATGTGAATCTGCAATTATCTCGAAATTAAAATGAACAAAAAAGGATATTGCACAAGAAGTTTTTAAAATTCCGTATTTAAATGAGCAAGTTGCATGAGGAATTATTACTATGCTTTATCTCAGAGTAATAACTAAAAATGTGCCTTGAGCCACCACCACACTTTTTTCCTGATAATGCACATGGGTGCATTGTCGAAACTGCTCTTGAGAATCTGAGGGGTCTGACTGCATCCCCAGCGTAAGGTTGACTAGCTGTGGCTCCCGGTATTTCTTAAGCAAAGAGTAGCACCCGGAAATGTAAGCGGAGGAACACCAGTCCCAGCAGGAAATCTGTTTATTCCTATACTCAGTAAGGAAGTTATTTTTCAAAGCAATTGGGAGAAGCATTCACCTGAAACTGACGTTGCCTTTGCTTCGAGGAGGCAAAGCGCACGCTGACTCGGTCACACATATGTGCGTGCACAACCACGAGACCAGTAATTTGGGGAATTATTCCCCAGGAAGTGCAGAGATCGCAGCTGTTGTGTTTGGAGCTTTTGCTCGGTGAGGGAGAGGGCACGTGGGTTGGGAGGAGGCCGCCGGAGGTCAAAACCTAAACTCAGTCCTGGGTAGCTTAAATTAAGATACTGAGGTGCTGGCTCGGTAGTACAGCTTCACATGCGATCTGATTATACTGACTGCGCCTTAGTTGAGTGTCTATTTTGGAAGCAGAAGGATGCCTTTACTGATGTGACTTGTGTGCTGAGTAAACTGAGGCACAGTGGGTTTGTTAGTGATTCCTCATGGTTATCACTTCAGAGGTTACCCACGTCCCGAAGTGGAAAAGCCAGCACCTGTGTTCTCACACGAGGAGAGGTCTCTGGCTCGTCGAAAACAGTCACTGAGAACTCAAACAGTGCTTGCCACGCTTTATTCTTTCACCCACACTCCATTGTGCTGAATAACTGGATGATCCTGTGATTATGAGTCAGAATCTGGTCTGAGAGCT